CTGCTCTCCCCTCTGACCCTAACCAAAAGACTTTCAACAGGCCTATGCCCAGTTTCATACTGGAGCTGTAAGCAACCACATAGCTCTTTTACATAAAGAGAAACTTATCCTCTTTTCTGAACAGTTTATACCCATCCATGACAGTGATCTAATCATGTGAGCTATCCCACCAAGTCTCTGTTATTCCAATCACGTGATAGTTCCATGACTGTGCAAGGACTTCTAATTCCTTCTGCTTGTTTCCCAGGCTATGTGCATTTGTGTACAGACACCTGAGAGAATGGCAATCTGTTAGTTTTCTCAAGAAGAATGAGAAGGCCTCCCTTGTTGCACTCTTCTACTTGGACTTCCTCCAGGTCACCCACTTCCCCACTTACTTCAGGGCTTCAGTCTTCATTCCCCACCAAACCTAGTTTAAAGCCCTCCTCCCTAGATTAGAAAGCCTGTCTGCGAAGATGCTCTTCCCTCTCTTCGTCAGATGGATCCCATCTCTTCCTAGCAATCCTTTTTCTTAGAACAATATCCTTCTTGTTCAACATGTTTGTGATTCTTCCTAGTTTTGTGTCATCTGTGAATATGATTCTAGCATCCAGGATAGATCTCTTTGGAACTCTACTTGAAACCTTCTGCCATACTGACTTAGATCCATTTTTAATTACCCTTTGCTTGTAGCTAAGAATAATATAATCTTCTAACTGTATATTTTAATCTTACCAACTACTGATACCAGAACCATCACCCTCTAATGCAGTTGCACAAGCCTGCCTCATTTTGTTGTGCCATTCATTTGAAAGTGTTGCCTACAGAAGTAAGGATGCAACTATGGAAAAAATCTCTTTTCTCATGCTGATTAGGATGAATCACATAACATTATACACTCTGCTTTTATCCTGTTACTTTTAAAAAGAGTAGCATTAGAGAAGTGTTGAAAACCAGTGTGGCAGGCAGGATATGCAACTTTGAGATAATATTGCTCAGAAGCATTTGGTACTGAAAAATACAACAATGGAGCAGCAAGCTTATTAAACCATATTTTGGACCACAGAACAGAGGAGAAATATTGCCAGAGTTAGACTGTCCTTGATTGTGGTCTTTCAAAAATTTCTTCCCAATTAAAATTATGACTAATTAAAAAAAGTCCCTGCTATATGGTCTGCGCAGGTGGACCACTGTATCCATATGAAGCTCTACTGACCTCAATTTATCTTTATTTATAATCTCAGATTACAGGATCTAGGCTTTATAAAGCCAACCAACGTTAACAATCTGCACTCTCCTTAAAAGGGTCCACTGCAGTTCAAAGTTGACATATGTAGTGTATGACCAGAAGAGAATAGCTTTCTATTCTATTTTGGGAGTTTCCAAGTACAACCTGTTTGCGATTTCTGGAATTTGAGGAAAGCGAGAGAAAGAGGTGCATGTATCATGCACATATGCAAGAACATTTTTTAAAAACTTTTTTGCTCTTTTGGTCACATTCTCACTCAAAAGCAGCTTGATCAATTTTCAATTGTCTAACTCTAACATTTTCATTTTAATAGTATAATGTTCTCTTATAGTTTCTATCTAAATTCCATCTTAGCCAAGATTTTTTCCCTCTCATTTAATGGATGCTTCAATGCCTCAAAACTTGTCACCTCGGGGATTCTCATAAAGTAAGCACACTGAGTCTGGGAGAATAGGTACAGGGAACCAATAAGTTAGATATCTAAGGCCCTGGAAGGCATTACATTTATGTCATGTGTTAAATATCACTATTAAATGCAGCAAGTGGCACTTTCAGTGCCATAAAATTATAAACAAGCCACAAACATGTTACACACACATGCCACATGTTCAGCTTAAGGTGCCATACAAACCAGCCACAAACACATATAATATATGTGGAATATCTTTGTGTCTCGTTTGTATGGCTCCTTAAAATGAACATGCAGCATATGTCATAGTCCATTACTGTCCAGAAATAACTAGCATCTCTTATTAGAAGGGATGTGCTCCTCCCCATATTGCCCTGGCCTAGTGAAGTGACCAAATTCTAGAGGACAAGCCCAAACTGCATCTTCTTCTAGACTTTAGACTTCAAGACTTCAATAGCTCTCACTATGAAGCAGCATTCCCGCATGTTCCCCCAGAGGACACATGTCAGTTTCCTAAGGGTGATGGGATGCACTAGACAGAATGCTATGTCATTTTATGCATTGAAATGGAGGTATTCCAGTCACAACTGCAACTGCCACTGCCTCTCAGGCTCAATTTGCAATTCTATACCTCATGCAGTGTGGGATGACATGCAAGCACTGACACCTACTAAGCAGTAGGTTCCATGTTTGCCAGACTGATATGTGGCTCCACATGCATGCATACTAGGTGAACATAAGTCACAAATTTCTACCTGTCAAAAATTTGCTTGGCAACTGCAATTAATTAAGTCATATTTATAGGCTAATGCAAAATATACCTTAAAATTGACTGGAGCTTTTTATATGAAACTTTAAGACAGCATATCAGGAAGTTTAGATTTTAGGCTTGTGCTTCATATAGGAATGTGTCATTAAAAATCCTCTATCTGTGATGACTTCAGCATGTGGTTCTGTGCTCTCTTCCTCAATTTGTCACCATATTGAGCACCTCCCTGCTTGTGATTTTAGCTGTTATATCTTGACACCAAATGCTGAACTCCACATGTAGGTGGTGAAAAATATGTGATGTTAAAAACAATAGGTGTAAAAGCGTTGCAATTTTAATAAGTCTGTTCTTCATGAATTTTTAAAACATGGATTAGAGTCCCATTCATTTTATGGCAGACTGATTTTATTGGAGACATTTCAAGCGTATAGAACGCACAGTTAAATAGACCATTTAATCTAAGTGCATTAATAGTATAAATCTGCAATCCCTTACAGTAAAGTATGACCATCAACAAAAGCAGAACCTACTCTCAATGATCAATAAACCTATGGATGTGAGGTTGCACTACTGAGAAACTGGATCAGAAATATCATTGCTATAAAATACCTACAATAATTTGTCTGTACTATCTGTAAAAACAGTGTATGCAAAACAGTCCTTTGCAGCAAATAAGAGGAGAAAATCATACATGTTGCCTTACCCGCTGTGAGGAACTGAGATGGTCTGCATGATTGGGAAAAAGTTCAAGTGTCAAAGATGGCTGCTTTAGTATTCCAGGCATTAGATCCATGTTAGAATCATTCTCTTGGTCAGAGACACTGCTTTCCAAAGAATCAGCTATAAGTGAAATGAAGACAAATGAGGAGTCTTTTTGCCCTGCCTAAAAAGGCCAAGCTATCATTGCACATATGATTTTCAAGTTAAATATACTCATGCTTACTCAAAGCACACAGCTAAAAGTGGGTCTCGGGGGAAAGCATTACAAATGCAACAAAGTGCATGGAGAAAAGTGATAAGCCAGATTTTTAAAAGCTCATTTTAAAAAAACATTTGCCTTTTAGATAGTTCAAGCTTTCCTATCAACCCCAACAGATTCCACAGATGAATCAAAAGAAACAAGGATCACTAAGTAATAGGTTACCAGAGGCCCCTGACAGGCATTAAAATAATGGCATCTGGGATCTGAGAAATGTTATGCTCCACTCCAGAAGTTGTATATACTGCCATTCCAGACATGCATGGCAGGACAGGTGATATTTGGGATGGGACATAGAATTCCCCATGCCCTAACTGCACCATTATGGGGCTGCAGATGGGGGGGGCGGCAGCTCTGTCCCAGGCTCAGGGTTGCCCCATACATGATCATGAAGCTTGGGTGACTGAGCACCAGCCCCAGACAGTCTCAGGTCTGATTCCAGTAAAATGGTTTTGTCAGCAGCAGATACTCAGTCAGCATTCACTTGGTGAAACTTAACTAGAAACAGTAGTGATTTTGTTGCCTTTTGCTCCTTTAGTATGACTAGAGATCCCTTCCAGCTATTGCAGATCCAATCAACCATAATTGTAATATATCTGGGAATTATGTCACTGAAAGAAATACTATTTATTTAGATTTAAATCAAACATAAGAAGCGTTTATATAGATATTTTATATAAATCCAAAAACAAGCTTTTCAGTAAGCCCTAAAAGTCAAGAAATTTGACTATCTAGGATACAAGTGAGAAGCTTCATAAACTAGGGTCCCCCCACAGAGAATGTCCTGCCAGTGAGATTGGATGCCCTAGAAACCAAGAATAATTAAATCTGTTAGGTAGAGGGGTCAAATTTTAATAATGTCCTGTTTGATTTCATGTTTCTTATGCAGTTTGATATTTCACTTTTCAAATATATCATTTCCTTATTTCTGAACTCACTTATAAGGAGTAATCTCGACTGAGATTTCACTGGATACTAGGAGCAGCAGGCAAGCAGCTGGATAGAGGGGGCAGAAATTGTTGGCATGGCATGTGAAAGGATTCAAAAGAAGGATTAAATGAAGCAGCAATTAAAATTTGGAATGGCAGAGAAAATACAAATGCTTTAGTGGGGTGGAAATAATGGACTGGATGAAAGATCTGATGGAGGCAAGATAGAGATGCGCTGTATAGACTAACAATCTAAATCTGAGCTCACATCATCAGCATCAGACTAACATAGCTAACTACCTTTCTCAGGTAGTTGTGGAAGAAAAGCTGCTGAAGCCTGGCCCAAAAAGAGTTGAGAAGAAGTTTTCAAGGATGGAAAGGGAAGAGAAGGGGACATATCCAGCAGTGCATAATCCTTCAATCCAAAAAGCAACTCTGCTGCACTTTAGTGCAAAACACTTGATAAACAATAATTATTTTATCATATTATTATTAAACATATATTTTTCTATGCATGTCTGAGACAAGAGTCAAGGAGGAAAAACAATCTATTGTTAATGGAGCTGTTCTGAACTCACTAGCTCAGCAGAGGGCCATACTTGTGAATTACAGTCACAGTACTCAGGGCGATTCTTGTGTACTCGGAGAAAAGCTTAGCAAACAGTATCACTACTGTGCAAATTTGGGCACCCATTATGGTTTAGACTTTATCACACTAAGGAGAACAGAACCATTTTTTAAATAAATGCAAGCCACCCATTTTGTAACAAGTAGTTTGCAGATGATGACATGATAGTCTGATGACATGATAATCTTTTTCCCATTACATTTTTTAATCAAGAGTCTGTATTTGGGAATCCACTACTGAAGGAGGCCTCTGGGTGTTACTGTAAAATGTTTCAAGTGATCTGTTAACCAATTCTGCATTTAAGTAGTGATTTATAAATATGAAATATGGTTTGAAAAATGCACAGTTTACACGCAGAGTGATCTTACTTAAGGGCTCCATTGGTGATGGGACAACAACAGCTATTTCTGTCAGGGCATCAGCATAATATAACACCTTCTTCTGCCCGTTGAAGATACTTGCCCCAACATCTTCTGAAGAAATAACTTCATCTGAGAATAAAGTATACAAAAGTTAAGTCATATGAAATACCACCTTCCTTAAAGAAAAATGGGGAGGAAAGAGATTACCTCCTGAAATTGCTCCCACAGAACCCCCACTCCTCTAGACAAAAGAAGCCTAGAGACCTCAGCTGTATGTTTCTGCATACAGCAATCTGAAGAACTGAGTGCCAGGTTTAAAGAGGAGCATGCCCCTCTCTCTGTCCTTATTTAATCTATTTGTCAAACGACTCTTAGAACTACTGGCCAAACCCAACTATTTTTAAAATATTCTAATTTTTCCTCAGATGATTTGATAGCTCAGTAAATTTGCCTGCCAGGAAAGCTTGTTTGCCTATTCCTTTTTGCAGATAAGATGATTATCTCCCTTCAGCTGTTTGTGATGTAATTCCTTAAAGATCTCCTGCACATGTACATTCCAGGTGAGAGCCAATATTTTGGTGGGATTAACACCTACTTCTTAAAACCATGGACCCAACTCTAAACATCTAAGTTTACTCTATCCTCCATACCTAAAAATGACTGACCGGTCCACCAGCACATAGAAAAGCTGTTTCTGAGGATTCTCCTTCAAAGTTTTTCATAATTAAAAAGTGGTGCTCCACCTTCCACCAAAAGAAGGCTTAAAGTTTGTTGTCATGAAATTGAAGGCAGGACAAGGTAACACCTTTTAGACTAACTTATTCAGAGAGACATGAGCTTTCATAGGCTACAGCCTACTTCATTAGATGCTATGAATTCATATATTTGTAAATTTTTTTCACTGAAACTCAAGGGCTGCTTTATTGTATTCCTAATTTTTTTAAAGCAAGCTGGACATAGAGGGAGTCCTTACAGTCAGTCAGTCTTGTCTTGTCTGAAAGAGACTGAATTTGAAGAATAAAAATATACTGGCAAAGAAATGTCTCAAAATTTGTTGCAAGTGGCATGGGCAACTGGTGCCACCTTAGTCAGGGGGGCATGTGCCCTCCCACCCCACCCCCCGCGGCTGATCCTGCCAACCGGGGGCGGCGGGGGGCGGGGGGGGGGGGGGGGGAAGGGAGGGGGGAGTTCCCCCACAGGCGATCCTGCAGAGCAAGCACGCGGCCGCAGCCACTCCCAGAAGCACCTGCAGCGATTGGCTGGGACTTGCATGGCACCGGCACTCCTGCCTGCACCCCCTGCCCATTGCTTAAGTGGCGAGCGGCCGGCCAGTGGATGCACATGCACCCCCTACGCATCGCCACTGGCAAGTGGGAAAGTCTTCAATAAGTCTCCTACTTAATTTTCTGTTCTTGCTTGCTAAGAATAAAAGTAATCCTCCTTGGCCATCTTGTAACCACCTTTCACATAGTTCTAAGACAGCAATGTCTCTTCTATATCAAGAATGAAAACTCTCTGTTCTCCTAACTTTTCCCACTCATTTCCCAAACTTTATTTATTTATTTACATCTTTTGTTGCTTTCTTCAGAATAGTTTCTATTTAGAGAGATATAGTGCCAAGATTCCACATAAGGCCTAGCCAGAACACAACAGAATACTTAACTTTCTTACGTACTGCTACTATCATTACAGCCCAGAATAAACACTGGCCTATTTGTAACTACATTTTTGCTGAGGTAATTGGTTCATCATCCTCTCAGCTCTTAATCTGGGTGTCAAACATACAGTCCACAGGCCAGATCCAGACTGCATAATGCATGTATGTATGTAGCCCACACGGCATCCAGATTCTCAGTTTTACATTGAAAAAGTTTCTAATATTCACAGTTGTGAAAAAAATCTTCCAAGAGTGAACCAAGTATAAGTCAATACACTAAAGTCTACCCCAAATCTGCAAAGAGTTTAATAGAAGAACTCTGTAGGAGATGGACTACTATCCCAGTCCATATAGACTTTCCTAGAACATTTAAGCCCTCTAACACTTCAGTGCCAACCTTACCTATTTCATAGTTGATCATTTTAGATTAAGAGTGGGAAAAGGATGTGAATAAAGCTGTCAGGGAGGTGGGAATTGAAAATTGGTATAGGAATGAAAAATAAAGGTGACTTCATAAGGGGAAAAAGACAGAGGAAGAAGATGGAGACTAGAGAGAGGGGTTTTAATCACAACAACCTTTAATGAAATAGGTTTTTTTTTCAGTAAATAGTATCAAATGTGATGATGAACAACCAAAAGAAATATGTACTTTTATATAAAGGCTGTCCCATTGCTCTCTAGCAAACTCCTAGTAACAGTGTGGTCGGAATCCACTGGGAATTGAAGGGAATATGAAGTTCAGAAATCATTTACTGGCCAACAGACCATACATCTTGTCTAGGTATCTCTCATTCTATCCAAATGTGTGTTAAGTATTACATCCAATTCTACTCTCCAGATTGGTAATGAAAATATGCAACATGCATGTCCTGAGACGACCCAACTCAACATTTTCTCCCAGAAGAACAGAAAAAGATTATGTATTTGAGGTTTTCCCATTTCTGACTTACTTTAAACAATTAGCATAATTAAAAAGAAAAAGAAGCCTTGGGTATAATAAAATTTATTTTAAAAGTAAGTAGCAAATGTAAACAGCTTTGTTGGGCTGGAGGGATGGGGTGGGGAAAAGATTTACAGTGCCTAAAGGAATCAATACATCCTGAAGCAAACAATTAAATTGATTCTGCATTCTATAAACAGTCAGAGCATTACAATAATTAAGTACATGCTGTTACCTTGTTCAGCTTCTTCTTCATTGCTGCAACTGTTAATAGACCAACTAGTTGAAATATGTCCAGTCCAACCAGAGTGCTTTCCCACATCAACTGACCAACCAAGAGACAACAAGAACTCTAGGAAGTGTGGTTGAACATTTCTGGAAGACTCTACATTCTTTAGAATCTGAAACATATTCCAATGCCATGGTATGAATAGAAGTTTAGAGAAAATATCACTTACAATTTATTTTACCACAAATTCAGTGCTGATCAAAATGGTAGAACAGCAGCAAGTGGAGCTCTAAGTCTTTCTATTATATCCAAAGTAGTTACCATGGAACTAGCCAAATAGCTACCTAGCCTGCATTACTCACTTGCCGTTAGCATCTGCTAACTTTAAAGAATGCTAGGTTGTTGTTAAAGTTATCAAGTACTGGGAGGAGTGGCACTTCAGGGTGAATACCTTCTAAGGTGCACAGTTCTAAGCTGCCGCCTGAGGGTTGACAAGCAGGGACATAGCTAGAAATGCTATGAGCTAACAAGTCTGGTCTGGACCTTTCCTGCTTATAGGCTCTCTAGTAGCAACACCCCCCACTTCTCTACCCTCCCCCTCTCCACCCCTCCACATAGCACAGCATGCCCCTCCAGCACCCTCCCTCTTCACCTATCTCCAGACTTGCCTTGGCCTGCAGCAGAGCAGCACAGCCAGGGCATGAGAGCAGCAGCAGGAGAGGTGCTATCCCTGACTGCTCAGGGCTGCATGGAGCCCAGGAACAAGCAGGCAGCCCCCTGTTGCTGCTAAGCAGCAGCCAGAGGCATACCATGTAAATGCATACACATCCACACTACCACTCATGTGTTGTGCTGTGTGCATGTGGGCACACTGTGTCTTGTGTTGCACTGCATGTGCTGTGCATTGTGTGTGTTGTTGTGTATTGTGCTGTATGCACATGTGCTGTACATTCACTGTGTTGTGCTGTGCATTGTGTGCGCACACTGTGTGTATTGTGCTACATGTGCTCATGTTGTATGGTGTGTAGGGTAAGGTAGGGTGAAAGTTGTGTGGTGTTGTGTGTGGTGGTGTGTTGTGCTGGGTGTGTATCCCCCACCCCCACTGCTCATCAGCTTCCCCCTCCCTGCCCTGCCTCCCTTTGCAGCCCAGCAGGCTCCATCCCCACTTATCAGAGTCCAGGAAGACAGTTAGTCCACCTGAAAGCAGTGCCTCCTGGGATACTGGAGGACTGTGAATTGGTCATTTGATCTCCCCCAAATGATGAGAAGTTAGGCAAAGTTGAGCTGGTTAGCCTAGCTCAAAGAAAATCCTCACTTCATGTGGCACCACGTTAAGATGCCTAGAGGGCATTTAACACTTGACGAGCATGACTATGATCCTTCAAGTTTTAAAGAAGTCTTTAAGAGCACAGGCTACAGTGCTCAACCAACAGTTACAGCTGTGAAAAGGTTAACATAAGAGTCCACCCCTTCAGTTTGCTAAATGGACAGAAACAGCAGCCATCATGGCATGACATGCAGAGCCACCAGGAGTTCCTTTTCCAGTGAAGAAAACAGCTTTGTCACTTTAAAAATGTACGCCAATTTTGAGGGGCTGATTTTGGAAAGCAATGTGCATGCTGTATATGAGAAAATATGGTAAATTTAAAGTGCTTTAATTGTATATCTCTAAATAATCCCAAATCTAAAATAGCTTTCGTAAATTTCCTAAAAAGGAGGAAAGGATTAATTGTATTCCCTCTTTCAGCCCCAAAAGTTGCAAGTTTCCTGTTTAACAAATGCCAGAAACCTATTCTTGTGCTTTCCTGCACCCCAAAAGTTTTGTTGTCCCTACACATTTGCTAAAACCTACAGCTTCTCCTCTTTGTCTAAGTGTTTAAAATGTGAATGTGTACTGGATAATAAATCTTCAGGTCACTGGGACAGACCAGTAAAAGAGAATTAAGGTTTAAAATAAACAGCATCAGAAATATGATACTGCATAGGAGAACTGGGGGGAGGCAGCGAAGGTGCAGGGGTTATTGGGGTCAGACAGTCCATTCTGAGGTCCCAACTTCATGTGCTTTGCAAGATGCGAGCCCTTGCCTCTAAAACATTGTTCATATCTCATCTACATCAAGTGGTTAAGTGACTTTTCATAACATGTTTCAGTCTCAGTCTTGTAAGTAAGACTTGTTGAAATAAACAAAGCCATTTTTATTGTTGGCCAGGCAGCAGTAGCAGTCCCAGCCCCAGCCCTAGCCCAGTTCATGGAGCACACCGTGGCTCCAGCCCTGTCCCTTGCCAGACAGCAGCAGCAGTGGCAGCAGCTCTGGCCCCTCCTGGACAGCACCAGTGGTAGCAGCTCCAGCCCTGGCCCAGAACAGGTGGTGGCTCTGTCTGTGCCTCTGGTCCTGGTCCTAGGTCAAGACTGGAGCTAGAGCCACATCCACAGCTGCAACCTACCCCAGTGCAGTACTCTAAACCAAGATAAGGCTCTTACCCTGCCCCTCATATTGAATGGGAGAGAAAACCTCATCTTGGATTTAAGTAAATACAGTATTTACATGATATTATAAAAAGAACTACTTACAGTAAAGTTGCACATACTGAGGAGTACCTATAAACAGCCCTTAACTGCTTCCCTCAAGCATACTAGTGCCTGCGACTGACCCTTAACATCTCCACCAACCTGCTCCAGGACAATTAACTCTCCCCAGCAAAGATCCTCACTGACAGACAGAAGCTGGAGAATGCTGAATACTTTGCATACCTCAGCAGCCAACTCTCAAAGAAGGCCGTAACATTGTATGTTCAACGATCATAACATAAGGACTCAAACAAAGCTCCTATTATAAGGCTATGCTAATCCTAACTCTTCTCTATGGATGTGAAGCTTGGGTGACCTACAGTGACGACCTGACAAGCCTGGAATGCCTTTACCAGCACTGCCAGAAGATCCTTAGCCCTATGTGGGAGGTTCATTGTACAAATGCCAGTGTCATCACTGATGATAACATCTCCAGCATAAAAGTGATGGTTATTCAATATCAGCTGTGATGGAGAGGGCATTGTGTGTGCATGCCTGATATACATTTACCAAAACAACTGCTATACTCCTGATGCAGCCAAGGACAAAGAACATGAAGGGGGTAGAAAAAACACTTCAAGGACACCCTCAAGGCAAGCATTAAGTAGTATGGCATTTGACATGACAAATTGGAAAAAAGTAGCCCAGGACAGGGCCACACGGTGATGCCTTGCGAGAGAAGGTGCATCTTACTTTGAGGAAAACTGTTTTGCCCCGGAGGCAGAAAACTGGCAGAAATGAAAGGAAATGAAACAAGACCAAAAAGTGTGCAGTTCAACCCTCCCTTTAACCATCACATATGGTATAAGCCAGAGAGTCTGTAGCTCTAAGATTGGACTTCTTAGACATCAATGGACTCATCTACAGCCCTTTACTTGACCGTGGGAATGATCATCCTCATCCACGAGGGATCACCAACAACAGTAAAGTTGTTCTTGCTACTGTCCTTTGCTACAGTTTGGGGCCTAACCTTGCATGACAGAGTAAGTCTTCTTGGAAACAGAGCATGAAGGAAGTATGGAGGTAGTCTGATGCACCAGGAAGTTCCTGCTGCCACATTTCTTGGACACACAGTTTCAAGGAGGACTTACTCCATCACACAGTTGGCCAAAGCTCTGGAAAAATGTTTTCTAACATTCAGCCTTCCAAAACCAGCTCTGTTCTACCAGTGGTAATTTATCTTCGCATTAATCATGCCTTAGATATTAGATACAAACTGTTCTTTTTAGGTGGCCATCCCTGATACAGCCAGCAGGTTGACCAACTCCCTTGCCATACTGCTTTGTGCCCTCTCTATACAAGCCACTCTGGTCACCTTTTTGCCCTCTAATGCTCTGCAGTCATGATGCCCAGTTCCCCTCCTCTCTGCCACTCCCTTGGGTCTTGGTCATCCCAGGAGTACCCTCTTTCTTTCACTTGCTTGCTATTTGGTCTACTTACGATCTACAACAAGGCTGCCCAACTGGCAGCCCACAAGAAATTAAGTTGAAGCCCACAGAACTTGTCAGTGCAGCTGCCAGAGTTGCTGTGCCAGTGCAACTCAAACCCAGAGGGTAAATGCCACTGCTACTCACCTCCTCCAACCCTTTGCCCACCACTGAATTTGGGGTCTTCTGTCACCACTGACGACTCAAATTAGCAGCAGGGGGAAAAGGGAGAAAGAGGGGGTACAGCAGTGGCATTTATCCTCTGGGTTCTGGAACCATGCCAACACCCCAGCTTCAGCAGCTGCCCCATCCTGCCACCAGAGGAGGGTTGTCTGGACTGTGAGAAGGCCTGCAGTCCAGATCTACTTCACAGGGCCAACTAAGTTTCACAGCTCTGATCTACACAATGCTTGCATGACTTTAAATATTGAATGCCTGCCCACTGCTGGAATTCAACAACTGGAACAACCACAGAAGCCTGACTAGGGAGAGGTGAATGTGTATCAGAAGTCAAAACCACCAGAAAACAGATTTTGCATTCCAGGCAGCTGTAAGAAACCATCAGTACAACACCATGAATTAAAACTGACTCCAGTCCAAATGAACTAATCCACACTGAATAAGGATTAAAATGAATGCACACTAAGGCAGTCGGAATTAAGCAAGTTAAACTGTATTAATTAACATTTATCTACTTTGTTACCTTTAGGACAACTTAGGAACTCAGGTAACCAGATAAGCATTGCAAATATCAATCCCCTCAAGGGAAACTCAATTGGGTTTTTTCCAACACAACAGAGCCTATCAGGCACAAAACTTTACCAAGTCAACTGTGCCAAGACCTCACCTGACTGAGTTGTTAGGTCAACTGCAGAGGGCTTTAGATAACTGCAACAATGTAGCAGGATTTAAACAGGCTTATTATCACCTCCCAATTACTTCCAACTGCACGAAATTGGGTCTGTTAAGGAGCTAACAATGACCATCTATTAACCCTTAATTAGAACTGAAATTTGCTTTGAACTGTGTGATGCAAATCAGTTAACATGGTTCAGAAAATGCTGGGTGTGAAGAAATCCCCCTCTCTCTGCCACTCTCTTGGGTCATCCCAGGAGTACCCCTCTCTCTTTCACTTGCTTGCTATTTGGTTCAACCAGGTCAACCAGGTGACCTAGC